CCTCAAACCCTAGCCGTCAGGGTCACGACCACCTACCTCCCTTCCCTTCGCCGCCGCCGGGGAACGCCGTTGGGCTAAGCCCGACGGTGGCGGGGGTTCTCCTCCCTAGCTCGGTAGGAGGGGGTCGGGCAGGACCTCCTCGTGCGAGACGGTGCGGCCAGGATATGATCCATGGCGGTGCGACGACGTCGAGGTCCGGGTTGGCCAGATCGGGTCGAGTGCATGCGTGCGCCTCCTGGTCTAGATCCTGGGGCGGCGGCGGGGGAAGCTTAGACGACCGTCGCGTGGTGATGTCCCTGGCAGGGCGGAACTTCGCCGGCGATTTGGTGGCTTTGGCTTCGGATTAGATTGGATCAGTGACGGTGACGAGCACGCGCGGGATCCTTCCCGGCGGCTCTCGCGGTTTGGCGAGGTGGGTGGCAGCCCTCCCCCGAACTCCAGTTGTGGCACATGCAGGCAGTGGCTGCTGTGCCAGGGCTCCACAGTGGCAGTGCTGCTATGGGTGGTCGCAAGGATCTGGGAGGCCAGATCTGGGGCTTTGAAGGTGGTCTGGCCGATGCACAAGATGTCGGATGGATGCTCGTGGGACAAGATCCGGGTGAAAACCTTGTCTATGGCGGTGGCCGGAGCCGGTGATGGTGACACCCTTGGCAATTTCCTTCTTGAAGGCATCATCGAGGTGAAGTTCCCGCCTCCTTCCGCTACCTCTACGGGACACCCTTGACCAGTCGATTAGATGATAGCGATACTCAAGATTCGTTCCCCCGTGGGGGCGTCATTCTTGGAGGTGTGCATTGGCTTGAGGGACTAGTGAACAGTTTCAACAGTGGAGCAGTTTCGTCTTGTATGAAGCTTCAATGGAGATGTCAAATCATGCCTGGCCGACAGGTGCTACGTTGTGTCATGCCTGTTCGGCAGGTGCTACGCACGACAGATCTTCCAGTGACTTCAAGCTGTATCGGCTGGTGGTACTTGGCGGCAATGGTGCTGCGGTGTACCGGCGGCGACTGCGACGTGCTCAATAGTTTGCGCGCAGGGAGATGGTGTCGTTAGACGTCGTGGTGGCGTTGACGGATGGCCGGACTCGCAAGGATGATGCAAATATCTTTTCTGAAGATGGGTCAGCGGTTCGATGATGATGACGCCTTCTAAAACGTGTGCATGTGGTGCACGCTTTAGATTTGCCGCACCGGTGTAGGTTCCTATACGTTATGTGGATGGATCGACGATGACACCGATTTTAGATATGGTGAATGAGAGCACTCACATTATCAAGCTTATAGATGTGAACGATAGCTTCGGGTGGCTTTTGTTGAATAATTAATAAAGATGTTTGTATGCATTGAATGATGCAGAGATAGAGGTTTTTAACCTCCTTTTCCAGAAAAGAAAAAATGCCGTCAGCTGGAGCCGTCGTGCCGCACTCGATCAAAAATTTGGCTGGCATCACCATCACGCGGAAATGCAAATATGCAATCATGCAATCTCCTTTGCGATTGCGCAATCGCCTTTGTTTGTGCCAATTGCTGGGCGTCCAGGTGCTCTGGACCCGTCCGCGGGCGGTGCTCGAAGGATCGCAGATCTGCTCCCTTTTATGTCACCATACATGATCGGTCGTTCACCGAGGAAAGGATAAAGAAAAAGAAAGACGGACGAAGCTCGCAATCATGCCGGCTTCAGTCGCCATGATTGGCTCGGGCTAGCTTAGCAGAGCACGGGTCGGGTGTGATCCATCATTCCGGAGATCGTTTGCTGTCGGACTCCCCCGGTGCAGGGAACCTGACCTCATACGTGCATGCATCTATGGACTGCTATGGAGCATGGTACTGGTGGCTCTCAACTTTGGGTCTCGTCCCGTCCGGGTCCTTTCCTGAGCGTTCGCTTTTCGCTGAATCAGCGCCGTTAATGCCCATGGCGCGCCCGATCATTCCGCACTCGACGCCCATCCAGTTGATGGGGCGACTGATGCCGATCATGGATGGATGTGTCTTCTTCGTCCTACGATGATGCCCAGGTGCAACGCACGGTGTTCTCTCCATGTTGCCATACCGGCATCTTTGTTTGTTTTTTGTTCCTTTCCTTAGGTGCAATGCAACACCATTCTGGTGATGGAGAGAATATCCTATGGAAACCAAGTTTCAAAGAAAACTTTGTGGAAACCACGTTTAAAAGTTTCGGAAAAACCTGAGAAAAATACATGATGTTTAGAGGGTGATGTTCTATTGACATGAAAATTTTCAAGTTCAAACACATTACCATTTACGAGCTATAAAAAGTACAAATTCAGCAATGAATAGTGATGTGTACTGTTCGGCACTATTCAATGCTGATTTTGTTTTCCTCGTACATCGTAAATACTAATGTGTTTGAACTTGGGAATTTCACATGGTAATAGAACATCACACTCTTAACATCATAGCTTTTTTTTAGATTTTTTCAAAACTTTAAAATATCGTTTCCATGTGGTTTTCACCGGTTTCCAACTTGGTTTCCATGTGATATTTTCTCTGATCACCCCCATAGTCCTAGCACCAGGGCAGTAATGAGTTAACACAGTTATGGCATCTTCAACGCCCATCCATCATCAAAACGCCTCTAAACGTTTTCGAGCCGCGTGGTTAGGACACTCCATGCCATCCAGTGTCGTGCATCAACACTCGTGGACAGGTTTGCACGTTTAAATTTTCGCAAACTGGAAGCAAAGCGAGGGGAGGTTTGTGAACGTTTGGACAGCCACCACATAGGCATCTGACACCCCGGGCCCTGTGAAAACCCCACCCGTAGCCGGCTCCTCTCACTCAGTCCCTCCTCTTGCTCTCTATCCACGTAGTCTAAGACCGACGACACCGTTGTACAACCCAGTCTGCCGCCGAGGCCTTGCTGAACTTCCGCCACTCCATCCCGGCGTCAACCCCGACTTGCCTATTCCTCCCTTCCACTCCTGGTCTAGCCGCCGCCTAGGTACCGTCCATCCCTGCACATTGTCCTCCATGGCGGACACCACAAACCCGGCAAATGTTCAGCCAAATGCCATAGCCAAATTTATTGATGTTTTTGTTGTTTACTTTGAAGCAAACACAATGGATTCGAACGCGGAGTACTTTTATGATGAGTTCATGGATTCGTCCTCGTCAGGCGAGGAAGAATATGAGAAATGAAACGACGATGATGCAAGCGAACATTAAAGATGCAGAACGTGTGGAGGAGCATGTTCTCAATTTCAAGGGATCGATCAAGGGACATCGAGTGTTGAATTGACATAGGGCACAGGGGAATATGATGCTGATGGACGAATACTTTGTCCCTCATGCACTATTACTCACTGTTTTGAGGTCCCGGAGTGGTTTCATTGGTTAACGAACCCTGTGGTGCATATACGTGTCGGTCATCAACACAGGCAATTTTGGCCGATTCTGGCCCGTTTCTTGAATTATTACTCACCGTTTTCGGGACCCGAAGCAATTTCCATAATTGTTTAACCCCAAGGTCCGCTTATGTGTCGGCCATCCACACTGGCAGTTTTGGCCAATTGTGGCCCGTTTCATGTACTATTACTCGTTGTTTTGGGGTCCCGGAGTTGTTTCCATGGTTAACGAACCCTGTGGTGCGTGTACGTGTCAGTCATCAACACTCGCAGTTTTGGCTGATTCTGACCCGAATCTTTGATTATTACTCACTATTTTGGGGTCCCGAAGTGATTTCCATAGTTGTTGAGCCCCAAGGTGCGCTTACGTGTCGGTCATCAACACTAGCAGTTTTGGCCGATTCTGGCCCGTTTCATGGACTACCACTCACTATTTCGGGGTCCCGGAGTGGTTTCCATGGTTAACAAACCCTGTGG